TTTTGCAAATTTTGAAGAAAAGAAAAGGAAATCGAACCTTTTGATGTCATTTCCGAAAACAGTTAACCAATTAGCTTCTTTTGGTCAGATAAGAAAAAATTCGTTATTTCGCTTCTGTCGGCCGATTCTCGATATTTTCGGATTTACGCTCTTAAATTGTCGATGTTTTTTTTAAAATTGCACCAAGATCGCCCTTCCTAAGCAATAACAACAATAACGAAAGTTTCTTATAAGAATCATACCTATTCGTAGACTAGAGTCCAAAATCCATACGCTATATCCTGAGACCAAAATGGCCAAGATCTGTGACTAATTTTTGATCGAGACTGCTCAAAAAGTATGCCGTTTGGAGCTATACTTACCCATAAAGCGTATAAAAGTGAGTCCCCCCTGACTATCTCCGGGGGGGAGGCTCATTAAATTGTGTATGTATGTAAAAATAATAAGCAATCAATTGACGAGGATATTTAATATTAGAGGGAGCCTGAATCAAATCAAATGTGTACTCACCACCAATTCCTTTTCGGAGTGAAAGGAGAAAACTACAAATAAAGCCTGTTACAGCTCGTCAGATCACAACAAGTAGTTCAAGGAGTTTGTCTGCAAGATAACAGAAGAACCATCACAGTCTTGTTCATGTCTTCTATTCCATGCTTTAACTAACACCAAGATATATTGGTTATTGACCAAGCGTGAGGTCAAGATGGCTGGATATTAGTCAAGTTCTTTTTTTGCGAGTTTACGGACCGAGACGGAGTCGAGGTCCNCGAGGATATTTAATATTAGAGGGAGCCTGAATCAAATCAAATGTGTACTCACCACCAATTCCTTTTCGGATTGAAAGGAAAAAACTACAAATAAAGCCTGTTACAGCTCGTCAGATCACAACAAGTAGTTCAAGGAGTTTGTCTGGAAGATAACAGAAGAACCATCACAGTCTTGTTCATATCTTCTATTCCTTGCTTTAACTAACACCACGATACTAAACTATAAAACGGATAGCTTTCTACCGAGAGACAAATCTAAATTCCTCTATTTGACATTATTACTTTACTGGGAATCAAGGATAAGCTTTCCTTTGTGCGCCCACCCACGAGTTTAAATCTCTCAGTGGACAATTTATAATTGTCAAAAATGTAATTTGTCTTGATAGCGTAGCACCATAATAGGAACAGAACCACATACATGCATAGAAATAGAAACCCATGCAACTCTCTTTTTATGGTCATCATGACTACCGGCGCATGCAACCAACGACGACGACGACAACGTCGCGCAACATGGCGGCCATACTCCAGCTAATACCAAGTCTTGGTTTACAGCGTACGTCTTTGATATTTGACATCCAATACAAGGTATCCGCTGACCAGTATCACGTGCTATATCGCGCGCTCAGGTTTATAGCTCATCGAGGTAATGTGTTTTTTTAAAGCTGACCACTGACCAAGTACTTGTTTTTGATTGGATCGTGGGCTTATGTCAGGTTACTTTGTTGGGATGAGGGACCGGTTTCTCGAAAGCCCCGGAAACTGTTCAGGCCCGATAAGCCATTTTTAGTTAATCGTTATTTAAAGACAGAGAGGTGTATAGGCCTGAAACCTCTTGTGTGAATAGAACCTCTGTTCGTATTAAGAATATGTGAATAAAACAGCTCCGTAGTCATAAGGTTTGAGATTTTGCTACGGCTTTTCGGGACCTTCGAGAAACGGGCCTCTGGGCCTGGTTGTTCGGAAATTAAAAGTTAACCGAGATGTAAATTTATCTTCTATACAAGTGCTTTTCACTGCTTTAGGGTCAGGCCCCTGGTGTAGTTTGAGATTGTTCAAAATCAAAACAGAAGGCCAAAAA